AATAATTGCCCACCAAGTCAGATACTCCAGATAAATGACAGATCCCAGAAACAGAAAACCTACCTAGAATCATAAATAAGTAGAAATTCTGAATAGAATAAGAATATTGAATCAAAAACTCCCAACAAACTCCTAGAACAAAGTGACTTCAATGGAAAACTCTACCGTATGTAGGAATAACAACTCGGGATTGGGGGGGCGGGGTTGTGGCTCAGCAGTGGAGCACTCGCCTAGCACATGCAAGGCCCTGGGTGTGATCCTCAGCACCATATATAAATAAATAAAATAAAGGTATTGTGCTCAACGACAACTTCAAAGAAATATATTTAAAAAATTCAACAACAACCTTTCTTGCTCTCTTCCAAAAAGTTACATAGGAAGGAACACTTCTTAACTCACTCTTGATACCAAAGGCCAGACAAAGAAACCAAAGAAAACCATAGACCAACATCACTCATAAATATCGATATAAATACCCTCAACCACATGATCAAACTGAATTCAGTAGCATATTTAAGCAACTACACATCATAAGAGACATTTATATTCCCGGAACATGAGGACAGTTCAACATATGGAAATTGAACCATATAAAGAGTCAACAACAGATACTTGAACAGATCTTCGTAACATGAAGCTTCCTAGTAGCATTATTCGTAATAACCAAAAGGAGGAAAACACGTCCATCAACAGATTAATGGACAAATTAAATGTGACATATAAATGCAGTGAAGCGTTAGCCTTGAAAAAGAATGGAATTCTGACACATGCAACGTGTGGATAAATAACCTTTGGAAGAGAATAGGCTAAGTAAACCTAGCCAGACATGAAAGGGTAAGTGCTGCAAGGTTCAATTTATAGTAGAGTGCTGGAATAGATCAAATTCATAGAGAAGGAAAGTAGGGTGATAGTTGTTGGCAGCGGGTTGAAGGGAGGAAGGGGAAGTTTTTATTTAATGGGTACAAAATTTCTGTTTGAGATGATGAAAAGGATCTGCACACAGATGGTGGTTGTTGCATGTGACTGCACTTAATGACTCTGAACTGCACACTCACAGGCAAAAACATGTTGTGCCTACTTTATTACAATTAAAAAAATGAAATTCTCGTATGTGTTGTATGGATGAAACTCTGAGACATTCTACTAAGTGAAAGGATACAAGGGGAGGAAGGTGTACGGTTCCAATGATATGGAATGTCTCTAATTCCTAAAGTTGGAAGCTAGGTTGGATGCTAAGGGAATGGAAGTCTGGAATTATTGTTTAGTGAGTACAGTTTCTGTTTGGGATGATAGAAAAGATTTGGAAATAAAGGGTAGGGATGGATGCATAACATTGTAAATGTAATTCATGCCAAGGAGCTGTACACTTAAAAAGAGCAAAATATCAAATTTTATGTTATACATATTCTACCACTCTATGACTATGTAAGTAAATAACTAAACAAAACTGATATTTGACAGAGGTGGCATTACAAACTACTAGGGGGAATGATAGACTTGTCAATGAGTGGGGCAGAGACACCTAATTAGCCTATTGGGAAAAGTCAGAGCAGTGTTTCATGGCAAACAAAAATGGAATTTCTTAAAGGTACACTCACATATTGTTGGTAGGACTGCAAATTGGTGCAACCACTCTAGAAAGCAGTATGAAGATTCCTCAGAAAATCTGGAATGGAACCACCATTTGACCCAGTTATCCCACTCCTCAGTATATGCCCAGAGGACTTAAAATCAGCATACTGCAATGACACAGTCACATCAATGCTTTTAGCTGCTCAATTCACAATAGCTAAGCTATGGAACCAACCTAGGTGCCCTTCAACAGATGAATGGAAAAAGAAAATGTGGTATAAAGAAGGACTTTGACATTTGCTGGTAAATGGGTGGATCTGAAGATTTTCATGCTAAGTGAAATAAACCAATCCCCAAAACCCAAAGGCCAAATGTTCTCTCTGATACATGGAAGCTAACACACAACAAGGAAAGGTGGGTAGTTCAGTGGAATAAACAAAGGGAAATGAAGGTTGTGGGGATAAGGAGAGGAAAGACAGTAGAATGAATTGGACATACCTTTCCTACGACTACACATGAATACAGGACCAGTGTAACTCCACATCATGTACAACCATAAGAATTGGATCCTAATTAGAATAAGTCGTACTTCATGTATGTCTAATGTGTACATGTCAAAATGCATTCCACTGTCATACATATCTAAAAAGAAGAAATGAAAAATCTGAAAAGAAATAGAATTTCTTATTGAATTAAGGATCTAAAAGCAGAAAAACAAACATTAAATCCGTTTGGAAGGCTGATAAATTTGACTATATTAGAATTAAAAACCCACCATATAATTATAAAGGCTGGGGTCTTGGCTCAGCGGCAGAGCTCTTGCCTAACATGTGTGAAGCACTGGGTGTGATCCTCAGTGCCACATAGAAATAAATAAATAAAATAAAGTTGAAAAAGAGCTCAGAGAAATAATCTATACCTTTAAAATAAACACATAAGGGCTGAGGATATAGATCAGTTGGTATTGTGCTTGCCTGGGTTTGATTCCCAACACACACCCCCCCAAAAAAAGAATTAAGATAAATAAATACATGAATGAAGATGAAGATGAAATTTTTGATATCATTTAGAATTTCAAAAATCCAGATGTCTAGAAGCAGCAGGTGGTTGACATTATGGCGAGGAAGTAGGAGCTCTTAAACGTTGTTGAGTGAGAGTGCAGGTTGTGTTCTCAAAGGCCTGTTGCCCACGCAGGGTAAGAAAGGTGGGCTCTGGAGGGCTGTCCAGAGTGGGCAGACACAGCCCTTGTAGCCGGAGGAGAAAGGGCCAGATTCAGAAAAGGGGGGTAGACTAGAAGACAGGGGAATTGGTCAAATAGGTCTAGGTTTCTCACTGTCATAGTGATAAATATAAAAAAGGATCAACCTCGAATAAAACAGGCTATTGGATTGGAAACAGAGGTTTCTGTGTGAACTCATGGTTTTCATGGATAAGTCATTCGGGGGGCAAGACAGACACGGTAGGTAGATTTCTATTTATAGGCTTGCTGTGGCTGAATGTGCTGGAAGCTGATTTCCAATGTAACAGAAGGAATCCCACCAACACGGGTCCACCCCACGAATGGACTAATGCTATCACCTAGGAACGGGCTTCGCCGGCTTCTTCTCTGTCTCTCCCCGTCTCTTTGCCCTTCACCATGTGATGGCACAGCAGGAAGGCCCTTTCCTGAAGCTGGTTCCTTGACCTTGGACTTTCCAGCTGCCACAACCATGAGCCAAATATCTATTCATACAAATGTTCCAGTCTGTGGTAGCTCAGGGCCTGCACTTTGAGCAGCATGAAGTAGGCTAAGACACACGGACACAGAAAACCTTGTTTCCTCTAACTCTGTCCAACGAAAGGATGAGAAATAGTGACCCCTGAACAGCAAAGGATACATCCAGCATCTCCATCTTGACTTCTAAATCCTGTTCCTTACAAAGACAATGAGTATTAATCAGAGTAATGGCTCAACTCAGGGCTGGAGCCTTCAAGATGAGTTAACACATTCTGCCAGATGGAAAGAACGTGCTCAGAACCATGGAGAAATGTCAAGAAGACACAGAGTGGGTCTACGGGGCTGGTGCTGGCCACACGTCCAACCAACAGAATATCAGAACAATGACAATCATGATCATGAACCATTGGGTACAACAAGAAACCTTGCATCTACACTGACAAAAATGAACTTAAAGTTTAGTGAGGAATGCAGTAATTCCACAGTTTCCACAAAATACTGATTAATTATAAAACACGAAAAAAAGAAGCTGCAAAATAATTGGGGATAATACTTGTGTAGACGTTTGAAGCAGACCAAGCAATCCTATGCACTTTAGGCAAACATGCACATGTCAGAATACGGAGGAGAACAGGAAAGGTGCACACCATTTCAAGATACCCCATAACCTCTCAGGAGGGAGAAGAATTATCATCTTCATTTTTTTTAATCTGAAGAAAAACTAAGCAAACCCTTTTGCTAAACTTGTGAAAGTGGTAGAGTTTCTGAACAGAAGGAATTTCCCATAATTTAATTATTTACATATAATTAATTTTTAGAATTACTTATATTTATTTTTGTTATTCATGATTTTGTTATCTGATAATTAAAATTCTAAAACAATGAAACAGAACTGTTAACAATATTTCAGAGGTTCTAGGTAGAATTTGAAAAGAAGGTCTGGCCGGACCATAAGCTCCTTTGAAGTTTCCCCTGTCAGTGCTCTCCATCCCATGCCAAGGATGATAAAGTGGGAAGGAAAGAATCAGGTTGAGTGAGATGCAAAGAAGAAAGGGAACACTGTTTCTCAAGAGAGAGGGTGAACCTAGGGATACCAAACCCTTGGCCTCCCAGGTGAAATATTTTCTTTTGTGAAGAATCATGCACTCGGATGCACATGAAGATAAAACTTCATGCACTACCATGTAAAGGATATGACATTCATCTTAACAAGTGCAGTTTGCAAATACTATTTTATGCCTTACTAATACATAGTGCTGGACTTGATTATAGGAAGTGTTCCGGTCATATCATGAATTCTTCATGTAAATTAAAGCAATACAAATAATGAAAGAACTGTCCCTGCCAAATTCTGTCCCTTCCTATTTTCCCTGACCACTTCATAGTTCACATTACTATGTGCTCTGCTCTTTAAAACCTCACTTCATTAAGCTCACTGTTCAAACGAAGGCAGAATTTGTGTCTTTTTCATTGATTTTCAGGAATGACTTTCTCATCTGAGTTTCAGATCTTCCTGTGCTGTTGGCTACACCTGTCTGTAATCTCTAGTTTACTTTCTCTGTAATCTCTGATAGACTTTGCCTAACAGCACAATGCATTCAAGGAGAGAAATCTCACTCTGCTTTTGCAATGAGCTGTGTTCTGTCTTTTTTTGTTGTTGGTGGTGGTTATAAGTGAACAGTCAGGAACACAGCTGACCCCAGGAAGGCACCTTAACTGGGTTGTCTTCGTCTCCACTGTGTGAAGAAGGAGACGCGGATTCCGAACTGATGTAAAACTTGATCTTCAGATTTTGTTCAAATGCTTTCTCGACTGCGTCAGTCTGCAAAAACAAATCAGGAAAGAGAAATGTTCAAGAAACCACTGTATAGAATCCCCAGCTCTGGAGGAAGGAAGTCACAAACATAATTTCAGTATTCTGATTAGCAATCCTTCAACATACAAGACTGTAGCCATAATCTGACCGCAGTGCATTATGAAAGGGGACGCTGCTACCTTGGGCACTACAGAGTTCTTCTCTTCCACCTGCCACCTTTCCATTCCACGTAGAAGTTCAAGGACATCAAAATAATTGAGTAAGTGGATTCAACCCAGAGTGGGTGATAGAGACATGAACTGGAAATTCAAGATTTAAATTCCATCCCTGAGGGTACTCATAGTAGATATTAAATGAAAAGTCAAAGAAATCGACAACACAACTTACGGTGCAAACACAATGCCCTGCTTATTTTCTAGCATAGAGATACCAGCCCTCAAGCACAGTGTGCACACCTGTGATCCCAGCAGCTCAGGAGGCTGAGGCAAGAAGATTGCAAATTCAAGGCCAGTCTTGGCAAGACCCTGTCTCGAAATAAAAAATAAAAAGGGCTGGGGATATGGCTACGTGGCAGAGCTCCCCTGGGTTCAATCCCCAGAACTACAAGGGAAGGGAAGGGGAAACTGGCCCTGTGGTGAACACACGTAATGTGAAGAAATTTCTTAGCTTAGCTTTAGTTTGGGTGATTATATCATGCCGAGTTCAGTATGCATGATGCTGTTTTTCTGTACATTTCATATGTACTATGCATAGATGGTGGTGATAGTGGCTGTGGTGGTGATAGCCATTTTAATTGGGGATTTAAGGGTTTTGAGGAGCCCATAAAAGTTATGGAGAGGCCAACACAACTAGCCCCAAGTGGCCCTTAGTATTAGAGGCACCACTGAGAAAATGGTCATGGTTGGGCTAACCAAGAATTTCTTTCAAGAGGCAGACCACATAATAAGTCACAGGAAGAATCAGTGGCATGCAGAGGAAAAGGTTATACTTCCTAAGTTCTTTCCTAAATTTGTTTTCAGTTCAAGGAAATATCAACCATGTGCTTAAATCCCCAAATACTGTGCTCAGTTCCTCAATTTGGGGACAACTTACAACTTAGGACTTCATGTGTTTATGGCTGTTTCGATTTCTTCTTTTATTAATCCGTTGTTAATCAATGTGACCATATCATGAATTATGTCACACCTTCATATACTATCAAACTGGTGCTGCTTTGGTGTGGGAGTTTAAAAGTCTGCTAGTGGGCTGATTCCTGGTACTCTATCACTTTATTTCTACGTGGCTGATATTTTAGAAATCCTGAACTCTCCCGACAAATGAAGCCCAATGCCGAAGGTCAGAACTAACAGCCAGCAGTATCTGTCACTTGTTGGTGATAGGTTTATTCTACGAGGACAGGGCCAGGAACCTGACTGAGGACAGACTACATCCATCTTGCAAAGCCAGCTCTCCCTCACCGATGACACTCCCAGTCCTTCCACCTCTACCCGCTGCTCTCTCTGTGCTCCACCCTTCCAGCCTCCGCCAGACCAGCTGGCACCCCCTGTGCCTTGCCAGCTCTTCAGGTTACGTCATCTCTCTCCCCCTCTCCCTCTCTTCTCTCTCTCTTCTCTCTCTCTTCTCTCTCTCTCTCATCTCTCTCTCCCTGTCTCTCTCCTCTCTCTCTCTCTTCTCTCTCTCTCCCTGTCTCTCTCTCCTCTCTCTCTCTCTTCTCTCTCTCTCCCTGTCTCTCTCTCCTCTCTCTCTCTTCTCTCTCTCTCCCTGTCTCTCTCTCTCCCCCTCTCCCTCTCTTCTCTCTCTCCTCTCTCTCTCTCCCTCTCTCTCCTCTCTCTCTCT